TAGTCTCCATGCCCCCGACGATCAATATGAATTTTTAAGAATGCCATTTGGGCTATCCAACGCTCCCGCAACATTTCAAAGATTGTTAAATACATTGTTTTCCAAATTATGTCACGATAAGGTTAGTATATACCTGGATGATATTCTTATATTTTCTGAAACTATAGCAGAAGGTTTGGACGTATTGCAGGTGTTAAAAATATTGAGAAATGCAAACTTAAAACTAAATGTTGAAAAATGTTTCTTTTTTGAAACCACTATTGATTATTTAGGTTATGAGGTTAGTCTGGAAGGGTTACGTCCTGGACAAGCAAAAATTACTGCTGTCTCTAATTTTCCTAAACCTAAAACGGTTCACCAAGTTAGACAGTTTTTAGGGTTAAGTTCTTATTTTAGGAAATTTATTAAAAATCATGCCTTTATTGTAGCACCTTTAATAAAATTGTTAAAAAAGAACGCAAAATGGGAATGGAATTCATCTCATGATGAAGCTTTCTCAACTATTAAAAAAAAGTTGTCTAGACCAATTTTGTCAATATTTGACCCAAGTTGTGAGACTGAATTACATACCGATGCCAGTAGTAAAGGAATTGCTGCAATACTCATACAGAAGCATGGCGATAGTTTGAGACCCGTAATGTATTACAGTAGAAGTACCACTATCAATGAACACATTTACCATTCGTACGTGTTAGAAACCTTAGCTGTAGTCGAAGCCATCAAGAGGTTTTGGATATACTTAACTGGTATTCATTTTACTCTTGTAACTGACTGTTCAGCAGTACGTTCTACTTTCAATAAACGTGACTTATTGCCGCGAATAGCGCGCTGGTGGCTAAGTATTCAGGATTTCGACTTTGAAATAAAGTATCGAAAAGGAGAACAAATGAGGCACGTTGATGCCCTAAGCAGAAACATCCCTACACCCGGTATAATGAAAGTCGATGTTAATTATTGGTTCCTTTGTATTCAAATGCAAGATGACAAAATTAGATCAATTTTACAAAAACTAACAAGCGACTGCCCCAAAGATATCAAGAGCACGTACATCGAAAGGAATGGACGATTATATGGATTAAAATTAGTTATTCCGAAATTCGCTCGATTTAACATTCTTAGAAAATACCACGATGAACTTGGTCATATTGGACATAAGAAGTGTGAAGCATTAATCAAAGAAAATCTTTGGTTTGAGGGTATGACCCGGTTTATAAAAAAATATGTTTATTCCTGCATAGACTGCGCATACAAAAGATCTCAATATGGAAAGAAAGAAGGATTTCTACATCCTATCGATAAATCAACTAAACCTTTACACACCTGACATATTGACCATTTAGGCCTTTATGTTAAATGTCCAGGTGGTTATAGCTACATTTTGATGATTGTTGACTCATTTTCAAAATTTCTATTTGCAAGGCCAGTTAAAACTACTAATTCTAAAGAAGCTATACACATTCTGAAGGATCTTTTTAGTATGTTTTCCATACCGAAAAGAATAGTATCTGATCGTGGTAAAGCATTCACTAGCAAAAATTTCAATCAGTTTTGCCATGAATATCAGTTTAAACACATCTTAAATAGTGTAGCTTCGCCCCGGTCAAACGGACAAGTGGAACGTTACAACTTAACACTTGAAAATGCCATTAATACGTCCAATAATGATGAGACCGAATGGTATTTTGTGTTACCTAATGTTGTTTGATGTATTAATAACAGTGAATTCCAGTACAGGGTTCACACCACATCGACTTATGTTTGGTTTTGATCAAAGTAAACATGCTTCTTTAGAGGCACTTGAAAACTACGTCGATAGACAAAAAGATAAGAGTCCATGCTAAAACGAAAATGGATAAGCAAGCTATTAGAATGAAAAAGCAGTTTGATAAAAAACGTAAACCCCCAAAGAAATATTCAAAAGGTGACTTAGTGCTATGGAATGGATCGGCAAATGCAAGTAAAGATGTAGCCAGAAAAACTTGAATAAAATATGAAGGACCATATCAAATTTCTGATATCAAGAGTAATGACCGGTATCAGATAAGAAATACAGTCACAGTCCCAGTTGATCAACTTAAAGAATTCTCAAGTGGTATGACAGACGATAGTGAGTCAGACGACTCTATTAATAGTTTAGATGAACTAATAGATCTTCTAGAAGCTTAACATAATAAGTAACAATATAACAGTGTACTTATATGTATAACAAAAGCAAAATATTGCAAAGAAATAAATAAGCATCCTTTAAAATGCAGGAATATCTGCTTAAAACTAAATTAACGAAATCCCAAAATTTAAGAAATAAAATTAACATAAAAAAAATGGGTTACAAAATTAAAACTAGTTGCAGAAAACTGCTTAAAACAATAAAATTAAAATTGCCGAGTGTCCTAGATACTCGAGCTTAAAAATTAAAATAAGAATTTAAAAAAAAATCATTAAATTAAAATGTATTGCAGGAATCTGCTTAAAATTAAAATTGAAAAAATTGCGAAGTACGCAAAAACTTAAGGTTAAAAAAAAGACTGCTAAGTATACCATACTCGAGCTTAAAAACTAAAATGAAAATTATCTGCCTAAATCCACGACGAAACAGTTATTGTGCTGTCTTCTTTATTTTTCTAGGAAACCATATAAATCACAGGGACGATGCGGCCAAGGGCGAAAGAAGACGAGGTCGTCCAAGTAGTCAGGATCGCCAAATGTTGCATCAACCCATTACGTAGTATAGTTCATATTCTATTATTGTTCTTTGCACGTTCAGATATTGTTTTTGTAGGTTTAATTTCTTTGTAAAGTAAAAAGTATTTTATGTAATTCATACGTTTGATATTTGTCCGTTAATTTATCAGGAGAGCATTATATTTTCTCTCGCGATACAAGCAAGACATGTTTTGTAAATAAATTGTAGTCATATGAAAAGTATTTTTATTTAATTCAAAAGTGCCGTTACAATTACTACTTAAAATATCTCAGCCGCTCACAGGTTGCAATTGAATCCAAATAAGTCCAAGGTCTTAGTATTTGGTCCCAAAAATAAAAGATGCATCGTAAAATCCCAGATCAATGTTAAACAGAGAAACACTATGTTAGACGTTGCCGACAGTTGTAAAAATCTGGGGCCCTTGTTTGATGATGATTCACTAAACATGTAAATACTCTTTGTCGCTCATCTTATAATACATTAAAGCAACTTTATCCTCATAGGAGTATAATGAGCTTGAAGTTAAAAATTAACGTGTTTCTCTAATTTTTTCAAGATTGTCGTATTGTGATTGTGTTTATGGGCCAGCCCTACTAACTACTGATATTATACGATTACAGAGAATTCAGAACAGTTGCTTTAGGTTTGCGTATGGTGTCAGAAAATTCGAACGAGGTGTGAGCGACTTAATTCGAAATAACGGTTATCTTAACCTTGTAAACACTCGGATATTGCATCTATTAAGCAGTACTCACAAGATATTGGTCCTGCATCATTTAAATCTCGTTACTCACGCCTCTTAGAAATTCCTCACCATGCCACTGCTTTATACACTAGAAGCTTTATCTATCAGGCTTGCAAGGATTATAATGCTTTACCTGTAGAATTTAAAAACTATTCAATTCTGAATTTCAAGAAAAAGTTAAAGCATTATCTCTTGCATGGGACTCGTACCAATTATTGACCAGATTTTCATTGCTTTTTATTACATCGCATAATTTAATTTTTTTTTAGCATTTTCTTTAATTTGTTTTTGCATTTAGCTTTAGTTTCCGTACATTTGTTCTATGATTTCATTTTGTACATTTATTTATTGGAATGATTAGATTAGGATGAGATAACTATATATATATATATATATATACACGTTATTTTCTCTCAGGGGGTTAAGTTGAAAAGCAGTCTTGGCTGACACTTCGCCCCCTTCCTCATATTAACTATTCTTTTTATACGATGCTCAATTAATGTATTGACATATGAGGATTCAATAAAGGCAATTTATTATTATTGATGTAATGAACCTGTTTTATTTTTGATTTTATTAAGTCTGAATTTAAAAATATTTCTTTTTATTTCGGATTATTTTACCCCGGCGGCGAGAATTATTGGTTTTTCTACGTATATATCAAATATCCACTCGCGGGTCCGACCGGCCGATACCCCACTCTGACAAGCCGTTAGTCACGTGGAGGTCCCACCACGACTGGTGTCAATCCGGTGGGGATTTGGGCATTAAAAGCCCTCGACATTCCCCGATACCAGCAGTTCAGATCCAGAACTCAATACCGATCAGACGTCCACCGCCAGCAAGAACTCTCCACCAAAGCCAGCCAGGAATAGCCAGTGAACCCAGTAAGAATTATTTTCCTTTATTATTATTCGTTCCAACCGGGTACAAGTCCGAAAAGATTTGTACGCTTTAAGTGTGGAATTACTGTGGGCCCGAGAAGAATATTCTTGGTAACGCACACACAAATTCCACCGTCCATCTCAACCCGCACGACAGAGCAATCGTTGGATTCGGCATGTAAACCCAATCCTGACGAATCCATCGTGTTTACTACAGCGTTGCTTGGTGTCCTGCACCCTGATGTACGCTGAGTAATAGGGGATATGTGAACTAAGACCTAGAGGTTCAGCGTGTACACCCAATCTCCGGGTCGTTCCATATAGTATACGTACGTTTCTCCCTGGTCGGCATGTATACCCATCAGACCGAGAAGCGTTGTATACTGAGAGTCCGACAACATCGGTCACCAGGACGTATAAAACTTAAGAGGCCAGTACGAATTGTAAGGCGAAATACTTCGGATCCCGTTTTACCATCCTATTTTTCCGCCTTGCACCGCCTGGGTTTTCTTCGCTGGATATTGCTACCGCTTACCGCATATTAATTTTGCATTGCTTGCTAGGCCGTAATACCGATATTTGACCGCCGACCTGTTTAAAATAATTCCGAACAAATTTTGATTTATTTTCAGAATCAGCGGGGACCAGTAAAAACGACTACAAATAATTTACTATCTTTTTTTTCAGACCGTTTAAAATCACCTTGTTCTTTGTTACTTAAAAACCGTCTACTATTGTAGAGTAATAAATATTTTGTTTTTGATTCCGTTCTTAAATATTTATTTCTTTTCCAAGGTGATCGTTTTAGTTTTGTCTCTCTAACACCGATCTTGTATATAAATTATCGTTTAATAAATTTGTAAATAGTTTGTCGCTTAGTAGTGGGTAGAAATAAAATTGACACAATTTGTATTTGTACTAGGTATTAATATTTTCCCTTTTGAATAAATCTAGTAAAACTTAATAGGTTTATTTCTTTCACCATCGAGGTAAAACGATAACATTCCGAAACCACAAAAACGCTGATATCGTTTTGTAGAGCTCCCGTTAAATTTCATATTTAAATAAAACTACACTGAGAAAACTACTCTCTGCCGTTTTCTCCTAAAAGAAATTCATTTGACCCTTGGAATTTATTTTCTTCACAAAGCTACCTGTGCACTTTACTCTAAACCGAGGGTAAGGGTTACATGGAGTTTCCCCCACGTAAAATTTAGGGAAACTGGCGCCCGAGATTAAAACCGACTATATAAGTTATTAAATAACATTACCGTTTAGAGTCCAGTCCGAGGAATAGAAAACCTTTCCGAAAAATTAAATTACAGGGGGTGTACACACCATAATTGAAAGTAATAAGAAATTGCCACGGACCAACCCATAGCGATAAAACCGAGGAAAAGTGCGTCACATTACTATTAATTCTCAACATCAATGTAGCGTTATGAATTCCAGTTTAATTTTATTTATTTTCATCACTAGCTTCCACTTTTTTTGTAGGACAGTGGTAAAATCTTGTTTCACACATCGTTCTCAAAAGAAAAAATCGAAAATTAGGTTGTTATTAATGAGAAAATTGTACCCATAGAAATGACACTTTCCCAGTGAAGGACTAGGAAAATCTTCCATTTTACATGTAGGACAAAAATGTCACTGAATTACAATAATTACCAAGCATTTGTGAAAAATTAGGTGGTTATTAATAACTTCTAAGATCATATTATTTTGACATGTTAAGAGTGGTGGACGCTTTGGAAAAACCATCGAACGTGTAGGACAAAAGTTTTTTCGAGTTTTTCATACAATTATCATGCGATTTAAGTAAAACACTACTTGTTAGTAATAAATATTGATCATTCACCAAATTGACATGTTTGAGGCCCCCGTGCTTTATTACTGTTTTCGAGAATTTTCGTAGAGGGAACAGTTGGGCGTCTAGTCAATACGAATCTGTTCCCCAAAATTCAGTTTGTTATTAATAAAAAAAAGGGTCTGGGCCTGTGGACTATAAACAATCCGATTACTCGGATGTTTGAATGCAGATTATCGAATAATTGGGTATTTGAATAATCCGATATTTGAAGAAATGAATAACTGATTTTCGGGTTTCCTAAAAATCCGAATTATCCTGAACCTGTTAACCAACTATCCAAAAAACCAATTTCAGTTGACAACATTAGATTAAACAAAATTCTGTAAGAATGGGCATATAAATTCATAAAGGGAACATTTATTTGCAAAACTCGGAGAATGAGGTTTTCTATTAATTGGAGATTTGGATTATCTCAACCTGTTCCAATAATCAAAAACTTGGATATTCCAGACTTCAGATATCCACAAATAGAGCGGTATTCAATCTAACAAATATTTTGTTATTTCTCTATGTTAAAATAAAGTCTAAGATGGTAAGAATGAAAAAACTAACTTTTTAACTATTATTTAGATAACTCCTACAAATAAACACAACAGTAAATAATTTAATTTTTACTTGATTTGATGCATTCAAGGGATAATAAAAAAATCATGTCCAAAATAATGAGCTATCATACAAAAAAAAGTGAAACGTAGGTTTATTAATCACTTAATGCAAAATAGATTAAATGTTTATTTCTATATAAATTTACAATTCAAAATTGTTTACCAATTAATTATATATATTGAGAAAGGAAAAACTATAATATTTTACCTAGAATTTAAATAGTTACATAAAAAACTATTTTTTGATTCAATACTTACTTTAAACAATTGTCATTTTACCATGGCAGACATGGTATAAAAACTAGAATTTTGTCCCTAATCAAATAAAAAAGCAATATAAACAATTCATAATGTAATAAAACAGTCAAATTACTAGTTTATATTTATTTAGTAAACATACTTGGTTCTATTTGAACTTCAGTCGGCAAGTATGTTCCCTAAAGAATAATATCATAAATTACAAGGTAAAATCTAATCAGATCTGTGCATGATACATTAGCAGCAATTAATTGAATAAATAAAATTAAATTATTGAAATGTGCATAAAAAAATATTTTTTTTATCATGCTCAGATCTTTTACTATGTACGGTCATTTTAAAACTATTTGACTCTATACATCACATTTTATTTTCTTCAAATATGCCCGAATATTTACCTAATTCAAATACAAAATTAAAATTATTAGAAAACTATGAAATTTTATGTCCAATTAATATTCCATAATTCCATAAAACATAGACATTAATTCAAATTAAATAAATATCCTATAAATATAATGTTGCAATGATTTCATATAAAAAATATATATATAATATATACACGAACTTAAAATGAGCGTACATAAATAGTCATTTGATATAAGTAAGGAAGCAACACTCGCGAATAAACGGTCAACAATTACACAGAGTAATTACAGAAAGATCAAAATTTAAAACCTTCATTTGGGACATTTGTATTAGGATCAAATGTAAAGCCACTTTCTCCAGCTGCAGGTGCCAGATTAGGATCATCATCTGCCTGAAAAAGTATGCCTCCATGAAGTAAAATGATAAAGAATATTACATAAAAAAAACATGTACAAGTATAATAAAAATCATAAATGTAACTCTGATAGTGGCAGCCACAATTTAATTATCATGGAATTAATTTGTCTGCAATGTACCTGTTTTAATCTGAAACAACCTTATTAGGACTGGCACCTTTAGCATGTCTAAGTCTGTTGCTATAAAATGCTTTTTATTCATACATGTTACACAAATTAAGCTTGAACTACCTCCTGAATCCTCACACCGAAACTTTTTGCAAGTAATGCCATTATTTAAATCAATAGTTTTTCTAGGTTATAGCTATACTGCTATATACAGGGTGTTTCAGTTAGGGTGAATCAAACTTTAACCACAAATAGAACTCCATAAATAATTCAGAATTGCCTTATTAACAGTGGGGGCTCTTGAAGGAGGACTCTGGACTCCGCCCCCCAAAATATTTTGAAACTGTAAACTTAAAATAATTGATTTATTTAAATCAATAAAAAATCTAAATAGCATGCATTCAATATGTCTTGGATGTTAGGTTGGTAGCATAAAGTGCATGTACTCCGTGAACGTAGCTTAGATTAATGCCATCTGCCATCTATGATCATATAGTTTTTCCGAAGTCAATTAAAGAACAAATAATTTCAAGGTATGTACCAGGCTCGGTCGGTAAGCAGCAACTCGGCATTGAAATATTTGAAAAACTTGTTCCCACATTTATTTAGCCATACCCATATACAGGTCTGGTTGAACGAAACGTGCAGGTGGTAGAAATGTATACGCTCAGTTGAAGAATGAGCGTGCGGGCAAAGAGCAATACGCACTGTTGCTCTAGTCCATTGCGTCATAAAATTCAGTTGTCGATAAGTCGTCTGGCAGTGCATTGCGGCAATGCGGAATTTGGTGTGATTCAGATAATTTTAATTTATTATAGGCACCCTTCTATTAATCATTCATATTGTTAGAAATATGATGTTTGTAAACATAGTAGGTCGACGTCGAAAAGCCGCCGCCAGTCAGTTCATTGCATAATTTTTCGAGGAGCGAGGTCTGCCTGGATTACTTGGCCGCTAACTAATGGTTGTTTTGTTTGTGATGGCCAGTGGAAGTCTTATCAAGTTGTTCTGTGGTAGCTTGTTGAAGTTACATTTGTAGGCAAATATATGTTCTGTATTGGATGTTATGTTATAAAAATCTAAATTGAAGTGATTAGTGTCATTACTTGACATGTGAATTGAATAATTAATCCGGTATCAAAATATAAACTAACTTCAGAAATGGGATTGTGGCTCAGTTCCTTTCGCAGTAGTGTGTATCCTGAGTAGACTGGGAATGAAGAAGGTGGAGGAGTTGGTGTCCGAGCTTGTGAAGGCTTTAAAGGCCAACAAACCAATTATTATTAACCAACAAATAACAATGTTATTGTTATTTGTTATTTTTTTTGTTTTTTTTCGTTATTGTTATTTTGAAATAAAGTTAATAAAAAAAAACCCAGCCCCTGTTCAAGTGGATCTCCCAATATTTCACCCGGAAACGGATGACGCAGCAAAATGGCTAGAGCAAGTGGAAAAGATAAAAATTGAATTGTCTTGGTCTGATGTGGAAATCTTAATACGGCTGAACCGGGTTATGATTCAAAATGCACGTAAGTGGTTTGACGAATGGAAACCTGAGGTAAGAGATTGGAATACTTTCAAAAGAGAATTTACTGACACTTTTCCGCCCCATCGTAATTTGGGTCGTTTGTTAAGCGAGGCAGCTAATTTTGATAGTAGTCAATGTAATACGTATGACGTTTACGTTCATAAAAAGTCATCCTTATTGAGAAATTTGCGAGTGTCTTGGCAAGAACAAGATCTTGTAGAAATAATTGTTCATGGCATTAGAGAATCACATGTTCGTGATGCCACGATGTCAAGGGACTGTAAAACGGTTTCAGAACTGCTCACATATTTAACTGCTTATACAAAAAGGGCGCGGGACGATATTGACACTAGTTTTGAAATGAGTTCATCAAGGAGTTCGTTTAAGAAACGAAAGTTTTCTGAATCACTAGGTAACAACCGAATATCAAATGTCATGCATGCGGTAAATTAGGGCATGTCAGAATCCAATGTCATCAGAGAAGTCAGAATCAGATTAGAAATTCAGTTAGGGATGAAACTGTTGCTGGACCAAGTGCTATTAATCAAATCACGTGTTCATTTTGTGCAAAGGTGGGTCATTACGAAAAAGATTGTTTTACTAAAAGAGCAATCGAACAAAGACGCAAAGTAAATTTCTGTACAGTAGGCAAAACAGCTCTACCCACGAGTGTATATTTAGTCGGAATAAAATTCCAAGATCATATTTATACAGGTTCAGATGTGTCGCTAATCGCTGAAAAATATCGCCCTATGTTTATAAACAAAATCGAAATGTGTTCCTCTACCGTTCGTGGAATTTCGCGCGGTACTATAGAAGTGAAAGAGCAATTCAAAACCGATGTAGAAATTACCGGCGTAAAAACCGAATTGGTATTTTTGATTGTTCCAGATAATATTTTAGATTTCGATGTTCTAGTAGACTGTAACTTATATCAATATCCTGAGTTAGCTGCTATTACTGACGTAACAGGAACAATTCTAAAGCGGAAACAAATACCCGGAATACGCTGAGTGTTAGAAGAAACGCCTCGCAGAGAACAATTGCCTGATTGTGTTGCGCCTCAGGAGTACTTAGATCAGATAAAGCTTTTGTTGGATCAATTTAGCGATTTAATAATCACTGGCTATAAAGTTCCAGCAATAAAAACAGCAAAATTAAGTATTCGACTTATCGATAATCATATTGTCAACAGACCGCTGCCTCGGTTATCATTAACGGAGAGATCAGCTGTTAGGGAAATTATTCATGAATTACTTAGTAACAAAATTATTAAGGAAAGTGAATCACCGTATGCTAGTCCAATGCTTTTAGTACGGAAGAAGGAAGGTAGTTATCGTTTATGTGTTTCAGATTATCGTGAGTTAAATTCTCACACTGTCAAGGATCGTTTTCCTCTGCCTGTAATTCAAGATCAAATAGATCGTTTGGGAAAAGGGAAATATTTCACATCATTAGATTTGGCGTCTGGATTTCACCAGTTACCTATAAATACTGAGTCAATTGAAAAAACATCTTTTGTAACTCCCGACGGTCATTATGATTATTTACGTATGCCGTTTGGGTTGGCCAATGCCCCTGCGGTATTTCAGCATGCATTAATGAAAGCGTTAGGTGACCTTAAAGATACCATAGCCCTAGTGTACTTAGACGATATTTTAATACCTTCAGAAACACCTGAAGAGGGAATGAAGTCTCTAAAATTAGTTCTTACAGCTTTGCAAAATGCAGGATTTTCATTAAATGCTTCCAAGTGTAAATATTTACAAAGTAGTGTGATATATTTAGGACGTCAAATTTCTGCCGAGGGTATACGTCCAGATCCAAAGAAAGTTCAGGCTTTATTGCATTCACCAATACCTAAAACCTTTAAACAAGTCCGACAGTTTATGGGACTTGCAGGCTATTTTCGAAAGTACATTCCAAATTTTGCTTCGGTTACATCTTGTATTAAAAAATTAATAAAACAAAACGAACCATTTTTATGGGATAAGGAGCAGCAAGAAGCTCCCGATTACGTAATCAAACATTTAATATCAGAACCTTTATTAACCGTTTTTGACCCCGACTTACCCACTGAATTACACACCGACGCGAGTTCGCTTGGTTACGGAGGAATTTTGTTGCAAAAAAAGACAGTCAAACTGGTGCAGTTGGTTATTTTAGTAAACGAACAACCTCGACAGAGGAAAAGTACCATTCATATGAGCTGGAGACGTTGGCCATAGTTAATTCCCTAAAGCATTTTCGCATTTATCTTAGGCATTCACTTCACAATCGTCACTCATTGTAATGCTGTCAAATCAACCCCAAATAAAAAGTCGTTGATACCACGCGTAGCTCGATGGTGGTCTTATATGCAAGATTGTAACTTTACTCTAGTGTACCGTAAAGGAAGTTCATTACCACATGTAGATTTTCTAAGTAGAAATCCTCCAGTAAATGTACGTCAAGTCGCTCATGATGATTGGGTGCGCATTGCACAAAGAGGTAACGCTGAAACTAAAAACATGTTAAATTTATTACGTGAAGGAAAATTAGATTCCAAGCAATACGTAGAAAAGAGCAGGATGCTCTTGCATCAAGAAATTCTATCAGATGGAACTAAAATATTGAGATGGTTTGTGCCAAGGCAAAATCGTTTAGGGTTATTACGAATTTACCATGACGAACAGTGTCATATTGGCCCCGAGAAAATTTTGGAAAGCATAAAACAGCATATTTGGTTTCCCAGAATTCGAAATTTTGTTAATAATTACGTTAAACATTGTTTGGTGTGCGCAGTGAAGAAAACACGTACAGGTCCTTGGCAAGGCTATGTTGAGCCCATACCTAAACCCGATGAGCCTTTTCATACCGTACATGTAGATTGTTTAGGCCCACTAAGTGTTTCTATGGACAGTTATAAACATGTTCTTGTGTTAATCAATGCATTTACAAAATACTGTTTATTGTTGCCACTGAAGACTGTGACATCTAAAGAAACCAAAAGTCTATTACAAAATTTCTTTTCGCTATTTGGAGCACCTAAGTTGATAGTTGCTGACGCAGGGCGAAATTTTCAAAATTTAGAGATTTCACAATATCTTGATTCATGGGGTGTTAGGTATCACTATGTAACTCCTGATGTACACTGTGGTAACGGGCAAGTTGCATATACGCATATACCTTATGCGAACAATTATGAATTTATTGCGTATAGAGACAGATATTAAGTCAGAATGGTCGAACAGTCTTTGGAAAATTCAACTTGTGTTAAATACCACTTTTCAAAAATCAATAAGGATGACTCCTATACAAGCTTTATTAGGCATAAAAGCTGCAACTCCTTTGATTCAA